TTAAAAAATATTAATGTATATTTAAAATTAATTATTAAAAAAAATTACTTCTTTTTTGATATAACAAAATAAACAATTTAGTAAATATTTTTCATAATTAATTATAAATATTTATTTTAAATAAATTAATGAAGATTTAAAAATTTGTAATATTTTTTTACAGATGAGATTATGGCTTATGATTGATAAAATACAACAAAAAGAATTGATTAATAATGAAGAATCAACTGTATATAGTCAAGCTATTCATTTTTCAAATCGTATGGTTTCTTTAAGAATTCCTCTTGATTCAAGTAAAGGAATTATGACACCAGTTGATGTTGAAAGAGACAGCAATAGTAATAGCATTGTAACTACAAGGTATGAAAGATAATTATTTCTCTGTGATATTTTATGTAGCATAAAATTAGAATGTCAGTTTTTTATATAAAATTATTATTATTAAATATATACTATTATTTAATCAAATTAAAAAAAACTGTCAGAGATTTATATCTTATCTTATTTATATCTTTAACAGAAAAAATTTTAGTAACTCTTAAATTATGAAAATTAGTTTAAAATAAAGTATGGAACAACATTTTTATTTTAAATCAATTCTATTAAATTTGAATTTTTATGATAATTTGTTTATTTTGTATTTGTTAATTTTTGTTTTAAAAAATAAAAAATTAATAATAATTTTTATTTAAAGGCTTTCTTTTTATATTTTTCTTTTAAAGAATGTATAATGGGTAATATTTTCAATTTAATCTCTATTATTAGAACAAAGCTATAAATATTGTGAATTTTATAGTCATAGATTTTAAATTGTTAAACATCACACATCCTCACATGACCACATATACTTTGTTAATATGCCAGGTTAAGTTCCATACTACTATCTTAAAGCAAATATTATTTTACACCAACACAGTGTTTTTACACTTGTCAGGGCATTTAAAAGCCTAAAACATATTTACACTGTCATTTATTAAGTCATATATAAGTAGGCCTTAAAAACTGATACAAAAGTAAAAATAATAAATAAAAAATCTTCAAAGAATTTATTATTAATTTTATTTTGAGAGCATTTAAGAGCAAGGCAAGTACTGAAAATAAAGATGAATATAATTGAAAAGCACTGTATTAGCAAAGTGTCCTAAAAGTGAAACACCCTAACACAAGCTATGCCTGTATGATGAAATGCAAAGAATGTGCATAATTGGGTTGACAATTATGTTAAAATTTGATTGACACTCAAGCTTAAGACAATGAAAATATTAAGTTTTAGTTAATTTTAACTATTGAAAAAAGTTGTTTTATGATTATGATTTTGAGTCATTGATTACAAATCTAAAATGTTAATTATTAAAAATTTTAATATCTAATATTTTAATATTAAAACTAACTAAAGCTTAATATTTTTATTGACTTAGGTTTGGATGTCAGTCAATCTTAATATAATTATCAACCCAATTGATATTCTTTTTAAAGAGAAGGAAAGATCAATTTACAGTAAACTTTTATATATATTTCTGTTTTCTCATCTATTAATCAGATTTAGCATTATATAAGATTTGAGAATCTTTCTCTACATAATCCATTAAGTAGTATATTTCTTAAGCAATATATATAAAAATAATAATTTGATAATGAATAAAACACTGTTTTAACAAAAAGTGTTATTTTATATTACAATATAATTATTATTATTAAAAATAATAATATAAGAATATTATTTTTATGACTGTAATTTAGGAATTTATTTTATTTTACTCAAATATATTTATACATATTAATAAAAAAAACTAGAAGTATAACATTTTATAAATGCATTTCAGTGTTTTAATATTTTCTATTCATTTGTATATTTTCCTTATATTATAATTTATTTATTTCAATATACTTAAAATTCGAACCTAATATGTCATTGATAAATTAGATTTATAACTTTTTTAGTAATAGGATTGCATATCCAAGTATTTTTAAAATGAGTTTTACAGAAGATCAATTTTTTCCCATATAAATTTTAGTTAAATTTTTTTTTGTTTTTTTAATCTTATTTAATAAAAATCTAACAAAATTTTTTCTCAAACCCACAAGAAATAACAAGAAGAGAAAATTGACCACTTTACAAATACAACTTTAAAATATTTTGACATTGCTTCTTATAGTGTTTTATATTTGATGTTACTGATGTAAATACAATTTATTAAAAACATCACATTTTTAATGTCACAGATAAATGGTGTTTAATGAAAAATTGGATATAAATAATTTATTTTAATCTTTTCAAGTTTTATTATGACTATAATTCCATATTTATCTTTAGAAAACACAACATAAAATTAAAAGAAAACTAATAGTTACTGAAGCAAATAAAATATTAACTTGAAATTTATAAGAACAGAACTGTGTATAATAAATTTGTTATCATTAATAATTAATAATTATCTGTATATGTTATTTGTTTTATTTCTGTGCATACATATACATATTCTTATACAGGCAGTCTCTGACTTTCATTGTGTCCCTGAAAGTGTGAACAAAAGAGAAATGTTTAAAAGTCAAGCATTAGAGTTGCATATTTTACAGGGTCATTGAGGTAAATCCTGAAAATTCACTGCATAATGAAAAACAATTAAAAATAGAGGAAAAAATCAATATATTTTTCTGAAAATTGGTACAAAAGTAGTACACAACATACAGAATGAAATTATTCTATGTAGCCTCCATCAGCTTCCATGATCTTCTGATGATGGAGTCAAATGTAAACATCGTGAAGCGCTGTAAACATTAAGATAAAATGCTTTTCAAAAAAACATTTTTTTTTGTTGTCTCGAAAATCAGGTGTATAATACATTAGATTTGATGGTGTACTAGAATAGAGAAAACACGATATTTTTTTAATATTAAGGTTTAACTTTTTCATATCAAATTAATATTTTGTAATTTTGTTGTTCAGAAAATCATGAAAATATTATATAGAATCCTGAATGGAGTGAAATTAAGCTTAAAAAATTTTATACTGCTTATATGGACATTTTTATTTCTTTTGTTTAATAGCATTTGTGACTACTTCACTATTTTTACTAAAATTTCAAATCATTGTGTGATGATAATATTGTTCTTCATTTTAAGTATATAAATAATGAATATTTAGTGTATTAATTTTATAGATTATTTTGTTTTTAAGTTATATTTAGTTAAGATCTTCATAAATTTAAATTTGTAATATCTATTTTTGTATAGTATTGCAGAAACTGATAGTTTTGGAGCAGAAAGTGGATTTGAAGAAGATACTTCTGAAGTTGGGGTGAATGTTATAAAATTTGTTTCTAGATTTGTTGATAAAGTTTGTACTGAAAGTGGTGTAACAGAAGAACATATCAAGTCTCTACATCAAATGATTCCAGGTAATTATAAATCAGTTATTGGTGTATAATTATAAATTTTACAGATTTTTCTAAATTTTAAATGTACAGTAGATCCCCTATAACACAGTAGATATGTTCCGTTTTATATGAATTCTGTGTTTTACGAGTCACTTAAATACATGAGCCGATCACAGCCCGGCACATGTGCAGTTTACGGGCTATGGTTGTTTGAAAGGTTTTCTTCCATAAAATTAATTAATTCTAGATTAATTTGACTCAACATTTCCAAAACACGTATAATTTTTTGGGAATAATCCATATAAACTATGCTATAAACAAAAAATTGTAGGATTATTTACCGAGTGTGCACCGTTCAACGACGCTATTGATAAGTTGTTTTTCTGCGAAAAATTCACTGAACTTTGGCGACATCATTAATATAAATATAATTTTTATGGCTGTTAAATAATAAATGGTTTTTAGTAGGTCTGCTGCTTGTTTAAACTCGATGGTTTGTGCAATATCTGCTATTGGTCTAGATTCGACCAATCCTGACGCAACACGAGTCGGTAATGACGTTTTACCATATTATAAGAGTCTCTTTTAGTGTGTTTTTATGAATACGATCGCAATTTTTTCACCGTGTTATACGAATCTGTATTATATGAACCCGTGTTATAGGGGATCTACTGTATATGAAATGAAGCATTGATTCCGTTTTTAAATTATTTACAAAATTTATTTTTGATTTATTTGATAATTAATTTTGTAGTTTGTGGTAATAAATTAATCAAAAGTCATAGTTTTGTGTTTTTCATTATATACAGCTAGTTTTGGAATTGAAAATTTTATATATATAATTTTTAATGTAATATGTTATTGCTCTAAATTCTGCAAAGAATAATTAAAATAAAATTAAAAAATTATAAGCAAATAGAATGTCAAATATTTTTAATACAATTTGCATAGGTGTAGTAGCAATGCAATTAGAAACATTAGAAGCTGTACATAGAGAAAGTAAGCGACTACCTCCAATAATGAAAGTAAGTTTCTTATAAATGTTTCTATTGAATATTAATATTTTTAAATTATTAGGTTAAATTTTTTAATTGAATTTATATAATTATTATATCTAATTATTTCAATTATGATTAAAGAATATGTAACATTGTTATTTATATAACTATATCATATTTTCTTTATGAAAAATTGAAATAAATATTCTAAGAGAAATGGTATTAGAATTGTTCTTAAGTAGCTAATAAAATTGTATCATTATTTATCTTTTAAATTCATTTTATAAATTATAAATTAAGTTTTAGTTTTTAATGTCCAAATACTCTATTGAATAATTTTATAAAATAATTTTTATTCCTTAGAAAGTTTTTTGAGTTGTACACTTCATTATTGAATCTCATGATTTAAATTTATTTTAAAGTAATACAATTTTGGATTCATTAACAGGAATTAAAATTTTTTAATATAAACTTATTTTGAATAAATTAGATTAAATCTAATTTACTTGTAATAAATATATTCTCAAATTATAGTAAAAATTATTCATTATAAATGTTCGTTTTTTTAGTAATAGTTTAATAACTTCTGTTCTGTAATTTAGATGACTACATAATTTATTTTTATACTCTCATATTTTTTTATAATGTAGTTTATAATTTTTATTTTATAAGCTAAGTAAAAAAAGTTTTAATTAATAAAACACCTAATTTATTTATCGTTAATTTATAAAAAAATATAGTTATAATATTTAACTTCAATAAATAAAATAATTTTATTTAATAAAGTTAAAAATAAATCATTAATTCATTTTTTTTACTGACAATTTAATTTTTAGCCTAAAATACTAACTCCTAGTCTACTGCAAGGAGAAGAATTAGTGATGGAAGGTTTAAGAGTTTATTTAATACCAGATGGCAGAGAAGAAGGAACAGGAGGAATTTTAGGAGGACCTCTGCTTTTACCTGCAGAAGGTGCTTTGTTTTTAACAAATTACAGAATAATATTTAAAGGAATTCCTTGCGATCCATTTGGTAAGTAAGTATTTATTTTTACATATATAAATAATGCTGATAGCAATATAGCTATTAGCTATATTGCCTATCAGCATTACTTATCTACCTGCCTTAATATACTATAGATTGATACTTGATACTCATGCCAAATATTGTATAGTAGGACGGAGAGTTCACTGAGTTTGGCATTATAAATGCTTTTTATTGCAAGTACTTTCAACAAATTTATAATCATCGTCATCAGGCGAATAAAGATTTTTAAAATGATCAAACAGAAATACAGTCGATCCCCCTATAACACTGTTGATTTTTCCGTTTTATATGAATTCCACGTTGTACGAGTCACTTAGGTTTTACAAATACGTGTGCTGGGTTGTGAATGGCTCACGTATTTGTAAAATCTAAGTGACTCATACAACATGGAATTCATATAAAATGGAATTATCAACAGTGTTATAGGGGGTCTACTGTATTCTGAGAAAGAACAGAATGCATATTTTGAAATTAAAACATTTGATAAAACTGTTAAGAACAAGCCAGTGATTTGTTTTATTTATGAAATCGTGTCTTTTTCTGTATTTTTGACTTGTTAAACACTAATTTTATAGTGTATTTTGAAGACACATGGCAAGTTTTTCATCAGTTATCTTTATTTAGTTGATACAGTACTGTACATCTTTTTTGTATGAATTTCGGGCTGTGCCCCTCTTCAGTCAACTATAATATAATACATATTGATTTACTTATTACAGTAGGGACAACATACATAAGAATTAATGAGCACATAAATTATATATAAACATACCTTTAGGTTACATGTATAAATTAAAATCTTGTAAAATTTGATTTTTAATTAACTATTTTAAAACCTTTTGTGGATAGACAGTTATACATTACTAATGTACAGTTATACATTACTAATGTATAACTGTCTATCCACAAGAAATTTTAAACAAGATAAAACTTTTTAAAATTGTAATGTATACCGTACTTTACGGACTATAAGACACACCTTAACTTTTAAGCAATTTAAAAAAAAAAAAATAATAACATTTTTACTGCCTAAATTCAATCCTTTTATATGGATTGAAGCAAACGCTGATCCACCAATCAACGCTTAGTAGCGCTATCAGACGTCTGCTGGTTGTATGATGGTTGCACAATGACTGCTGGCCAATCCGCAGTCGTGGATTCAGAACCACTGGTCGTCTCGTGATCCGAGTTTCTATGGCAACAACCGTTGCTCGTTTGAAGAGAGAAAAAGCACGGGAATCATATGTCCAGACAATTCTATCCCGACATCCCACAACTCTTGTTCATTGCATCGGTACACTGCTGCTGCCGGTTGAATTCAATGTTGGCAGATAGAGATAGGTTTCCAGCAGCATCAAATATATGGCCATTTTTAAGACGCGGGAATTTTAAATCAAACACTGGACATTTTTATATTAATTTCGAGTATAAGACGTACCTGAATTTTGAAGGCAATTTTTCGAAGAAAAAAGTGCGTCTTATAGTCCGTAAAATATGGTAATTGTATATCCACAAAAGGATTTAAAATAGTTAATTAAAAATCAAATTTTACAAGATTTTAATTTATACAACATGTAACCTAAATGTATGTTTATATATAATTTATGTACTCATTAATTCTTATGTACGTTCTTCCTACTGTAATAAGTAAACAATATGCATTATATTATAGTTAAATGAAGAGGGGCATAGCCTGAAACACGTATAAAAAAGATGTACTGTATCAAGCCACTAATTTTTCAAACATGTTTGAAGTTGTGCAAGCAATGTGATACGTATATTGTGAAACAGCACATGTGTGGATGTAGGCCCACGTTATTTTTTATTTATTTATTTATTTATTTTTATTTTATTACAGATAGGTGGCTGTCCTTAGACTTAGCCCAAAAGGAGGGGTGGAAGGAGGAAGGTGAGGGCTGGGGAAGGAAGGAGTTGGGGAGGATAAGAAGAGTGGGAATGGAAGTGGAATTGGAAGTGAGGATGGTAGTGGTAGGAAGGATAAGAGTAGTTGGGATCCCGTTGATGACTAGAATTGCCTTATTTTAACAATTAGAATACAAAAATACAAAATATATACAGCAGAGTGCCATTCTGGCTGATCGAGTAAACAATGGTTAAACATTCGTTAACACCGAGTGCCATTTTGGCTTAATGATGGTTGAGAAGTCCTGTTGGGGTCTTGTACTTAGGGCTGGAAGAGCATCCATTATGTTGTCGGGTTGCTTTGCCGAGTGTTGAAAACCTTACATTTCTGTATGAAGTTGTGGAACATGTTAAACATTTCTTTAGATTCACACAAAGTCTGGTCTAGGTCTCCAGTTTTGACCATGCAGGGCACAATGTTGGTACAGAGGCTGCCACACACTATTATGGGTGGGGCAGTCCCACAAAATGTGGAATAAGTCACGAGTTGAGTCATTGTCGCACTCGCAGTTGTTGTTGTTACGCTTCTTGAATCTGTGGAGATAGCTTGATATGTTGCCTTGCTCTGTGATGGCCTGAGTAAGCTCGTAGGTGGGGATGATGAAATTATATTGCTGACGTTTGTGGATGGAGGGGAGAAACTTGTAAGTAGTTCTTCCCGTGTAGGAGGATTCCCACTCCTGCCAGTTATCAAGTATCCTCTCACTGATGTATTTATTAGCATAGGTAGGAAGTATTCTATTGAAGGCATAGTTATTGTTGAGGGTGGCTGCCCTTTTTGCCAGCTTATCTGCTTCCTCGTTGCCCCTGATTCCAGTGTGGCCAGGGACCCAGTAAAAGGTGATGTTCCTGCGTTTGTTAAGGTTATGGGCAAGATGGTTCATTCTGGCTCCATTGAAAGTGATTTTTCCTTTATAATTGAGTATGTTTAGAATGTATTTACTATCTGTGTTAATACTTATACTTTTGTTGTAATTTTTTTGGTTAGCAGTGACATGAACGAGGGCTCTGAGCATAGCCCAGAGCTCCGCTTGGTTGACCAAACAGTGTGGGTGGAGTCTAAAGTATTCTTGATGCTTGATGTAGGTTAAGTTGCTGTTATAAATAATGAATGCTGTTCCAGTGCCGATGTTACTTTTTGAGCCGTCGGTAAAGATGTTCCAGTCTCCCTTATCAGTTCCTCTGTTACTGTAGTTGATGTTTAGCTTGCCAATGTCAGCCGGGTGATGGTCAGCACCCAGCCCTGTGAGATAGTTATTGAGTTTAAATTGCTTTATTTTTTGTATAAGGTCCTGACTGTTTGATGGATAGATTTCTTTACAGGTGGTATCTTGTGTCTCTTGGTCAGAGTTTAAGCCAAAATTAGTATTATTTATATGCCAGGTCCACACTAGCTTTTTGATCTTCAGGTGAATTGGTGTAACGTTGGCAATTGTTAGCAGTGTATCCATGGTATGCAGTGCAATAGGCACTGCATATCCTTGATGCCATACCCCTTTGAATAGAGAGTAATTTTCTTCTATTGTGCACCAGCCTAGCTTTCTCCCCCCAAATCTGTGCTGCGTATAGCAGTGCTGGCTCAATAGCACCTTTATAAATGAGATTGGTGTTCTTACTGCCAATCCCCCAAGTGTTGCGGGCTATATGATGGATGGTGTTGACATGTTGGCGCATCTTCTTACATAGTTCCTCGATGTGAAACTTTTAACTCAGTGTTGGATCGAAGTATACACCAAGGTATTTTAGATGCAATGTGATTTTGATCTTATGGCTGTTCAATGTATAGCCCTAAGGGTTGCTGTAGCTGCTTTCTATTAGCTTTTCTGGTGCAGACCAGTGCTTCACATTTATCATAGTTTATGGGTAATTTATTGGTCTTACTCCAGGTAAGAATCTTTTGTAAGGTCTCGTTTTCTTTGAGTTGTAGGATGTCACGGTTCCGGTGCCTTATGAGTAGAAGCGTATCATCGGCAAAGTCCTGTATTTTCATGTTATTTTCCTCCTTGGGGATAATGCTTAATAAAGTGTTGTAGACGAGGTTCCATATCCTTGGTCCACAGCAGGAACCCTGCGGACAACCTCTATTTATGTCTTTGATTATTTGGATGGTGTTGGTAAAAAACCCTACCTTCCTATCACTCAGGTAGCTGCTTATTAACTTGATGATGTTGGTCGGGCAGTCTACACTGTGTAACCTGTCCATGACAGTCGGCCACCAAAGATGGTCAAATGCCTTACGAAAATCCATGCTGACAAGAAGGGCATGATTGTCTTGTTTCCATGCTTCCTTGATAAAGCTTTTAACATTTTGTATGGCTTTTAATGTGGACTTGCCTTTTCTGAAACCATAGTGGTTTTCATGCATGTTGTTGGTCTTACTCAAGTGCCAATTCAGCCTACCAATGATCATACCATCAAGGGCTTTGCCGAGCACAGAGAGAAGGCTTATAGGACTGTAATCTTTCTCAATCATAGGGTTGGGTGTCTTGGAGATGAACTTTATATTTGCTATTTTCCATTGGTTGGGGAAATAAGCATTATTGAGACAGGCATTGAAGAGAATAACAAAGGCTATGGGAACCTCTTGGAAAGCATGTTTCAGCATCTCTGCAGTTGTGCCATCGATTCCAGGGGATTTCTTATTGGCCAGGGAATCTATAGCCTTTTCCACTTCTCGAAAGGAGAACCATCTATCCATTGAGTTGCCTGTGTATGTGGTTATTTTTCTCCTCATACATTTGTGAATGTCTTGGTCTTCCTCTTGTTTGTCGACAGGGAAGTGGAAGTCTAGGAGCTTTTTGATGTTGGTATTTATGTCTTATTTGCCTGTAGTTTTATCTTTGTCAATTATGCAGGGAATGGCAGCCTTCTTACTGCCCTTGTATACTATGCGGTAAGATTGAGACCAAGGATCCCTTGCACTGCTGCAGAATTTTCTCCATGCTTTTGTTCTAGAATAATTAATTAATTTCTTATATTTGTGGAGTTTCTTGCGGTAAAGTATACTTTTCCTTTCTTTTACTTCTGTGTTCTGTTCCCTGGACCATGCTCTCCTGAGTTTC